ACAAGTTTCAATTTCAACAAATATATGATATATAAGAGGTAAGTGATAATTTGTTATCATTGAAACGTGAATAATATTCACGTTAGAAGGGAGTTACTGTGGTAGAAATAATACAAATTATGAACAACAAGATTTGACAGTACTGAAATACAAGAGAAGTTAGCACAAAAGAAGTAATTAAACGAACTTTTTATGCAGCTAATATCTTACTCATAAACACAATACGAGGAATAGTGCAAACAACAAGGAAAGATAAACCATGGATCCACGCCACATCATAATATTTATACCAGTTTACATGTGTTTGTGAAAGTAAATGCATAGAGTCTACGGAAGCATGTCTGTCTGTTCTTATTACCGAACACTGACCCAAATGTCCTTCTAGTACGTATGATGCCATCCCAAGGAGCTCAATCACACTTCATTTATTAGACTGTGGTTAAACTATTGTGGTGAATTGAAGCTTTATAATTGAGAGTTAGCAAGACAATAAAAACAGAGCTCTAGTTTGCCGAAGCTTATGTAATCTGAATAAAGGAGCTACACCTGTCTATGTAAAAAGAGACAGCATGTAATTCAAATCTACCTTGTCAGCATAATTTATTACTTTTGTAATTTGGCTTCCCTTCTTCCTCTTCTTTACAACGGTTTTTTATTCTGCTATCATTATTATTATTAGGGTTATTGTTATCTGGTGTACTGTTGGTTCTTCTCTAGGATACTTGCAAATCGAAAGTCATGATATCTTGGTAAGGATTGTTCAAAATATTTTAGGATAAGTGTAAGACGACGTCACATCCCACTGTATTTATCGATTTACATGCATCTATAATCACACACACAGACAGTACTCATTGATCTCTGCAAAATAGAGCATCAAATAATATCCTTAAGTGGCTTCAGAGGCATAAAACTGGTGTTTATACATCTGTTAAACCGAAATATAAAGTGCTTGGGGGCGTATCCTAAACTTTGTAGAAGTCCCTGTCACTAAGATCCACCTTTATGAGTTTGAAAGTAATTTGTCACTACACTTAACCTCCCCTGGTAAACTTTGTTTTGATACAGCAATTGACGTACTTTCATCCCCTTCCTCCAGTAATTATTCTCCGTTGTTATTTTGATCTTCAGTATTGCCTTCTAACATGACCTATATTTATTGAAAACAAAACACGTAGTTCAGAGAAAAGTCTCTTTCCGGTAAATTCATTCATTTAGCTGTACAACTGCAATTATAAGTACTGGTTTTTGTATATGTGTGTACGTTAGGTTAGGAATGCGAATCCAAAATTCCCTTTCCTGATGTGCAACTAATAAGACGAACTGACGGAACCTTGAAAAAGTCAGTCTATAGAAAACCCATTTGGAACGGTCAACAGTTGAGTACCTATTGAGCGGAAACGAAGTCTGATTAAGCCCCTTGCCACTCGAATCAGATGCGTCTACAGTCGTGACAACTTGGAAGCAGAACTGCATCTTCTGAAAGAAACCATCTAAAATTAATACCCGCTAAGATTCATCGACAAGAATGTCAAACCAAAAGTCTAGAAGAACGAAACATCACTTGTTTTAAAAAAGATACTTTACATGAATTTGGATTTCAATGGAGACTTAACTTGCGATATTCTCAAGAGAAGAATTTCAGCATCTTTGGAAAGAACATTCTTGGCAGAAACAATAAGAGTATTGTTCTCCAATCGTCAACTGATCTGCAGAAGCCTTAAGGGTAATATCTCGCATCTGGCCACTTTATGTGCATATATCAGTTGACCTGTTGCTGTGGAGCCAGGTACATTTGTTGTGGTGCTCTATTTGACCGAACTAGCATACACGTATATCCTAGTACTTCTTCCCGTTTATTATTGTGTCCTAACGTTGTGATTAGTCGATATCCACCACGTAAATCAAAAGGCACTTGCGAAGGAATACGATCGTTTATTATCGCAGTAATCAAAACTCAAAAGTTGAGCGAGTACAAATGTATCAATTGTTAACACGCATTCTTTAGAGTGATAAACAAATCAAAGTCCAATTACATAGTGAAAGTATACTACGATGATGAGTAATAAAATGGGTCACTACACATTGGTCTTTCAATGCATATCCTGTCCAAAAGGGTTAAAGAACACTCCTACATAACCACAAAAAGGTAATAAGGGAAGGTGGGGTATAAGGAGTGCGATAATCGGACATCTCGTCAACACTGATCATTCCATCTCAACAAACGCCTCCTTAAAAGTGATCTACAAAATGAAGAAAAACCTACCTACCTTTGTCTCCCTTGTACTGCTGAAGCCTTAACCATTCAGTTAGAAAAACCGGAGTTATGCATACAAAAGAAAGTAGTCCAACCACTTGTACTATCACGGTAACAGCCGTGTTGACTTCTACTGAGTTGATGTTTGTGCTTTTTTGTTTTTCTTTAAATCCTTATAACATTTGTAATTTTTAGAACTCTTACATAATCCCATATTTTCCTTCATTTCTGTTTGCATCCTAATCACAACTTACTAAACTATTCATCTTATTACGTAGTTGTATTACACTTACTCAACTTCTTTTTTGTGTTGATTAACCTTAATAACTATTTTCAAGAATTTATTTGTAAGGATTAAATTTGTTTGACTGTGGATTGATATTAGTTAAATAATCACTGAAAACCAGGCAGTACTGGACAGCTGTTTCATCCTAGTTTGGGGATCATCGGCAGCACTCACCGACTGGGGTTCGAATCCAGGAACTTCCGATCACAAGGCAAGCTCGTATACCATTCAGCCACTGGGACTCGATTCAATGTTTTTGACAACACATCACCACCACCCTCTTACCAATCTTCACCCTCTCCTAGTTACAATCTGACTACTCACCACATTTTGAAATGTCTTGACAACAATAGCCCTACCTTATTTTCATTCTTATTGTACAAACCGAACCTACCCACACATGTAAAAATAAGTATAGATAATTGCGATTGCACAGCTAAGTGAATCAATTCGCCGGAAAGATTATTCATGAACCTATATTGATTCCCGTACCCCTTAAAGCATAATCGTTTTCCATATAAACTGATCAAGCTGTTCGCAATGTGTTGTGTAAGTACATTACACGCTTCAGATTAATTTTCCTCTTTTTGATGTAGTTGTGTTCTCTGATGTGGATGGTTTGCTTGCGATAGATAAAATTTAGCAATCCATAAGAGGAAAATCTCATGCACAATAAGTCAGACTTCAAGTCAAGGAAACAATAAACACCAATACAAACAGAAAAGAGCAATCGATCACGTTCAAGCCTATTAGGACAGATAACTAATAAGAAATCTAAAAGCTCACTTCAAATTGAAGTATGCACTAAAGATGTTGCCTAGTAGGACAAAGAAAGCTTAGCAAATAAACCATCCAGCTCAAAATACACAACTACATCAAAATTATCCACTTGAGCTACAAATCTTCTCCATTATATCTATTTGTCGTCTTGTTCTGTTTCTTTGTCACCATCCTACTCTATTTTCATCCAATCGTTGAGGGATAAACACAATGATAATCTCTTCAGTATTCTTAACGAACGCGTTGTATAGCTATAGATATGGATGGATGTATCGGCTTCCTGAGGTGTCAGTCTCATCAACCGTCTTCAAAAATTTCATGATGTTAGCCAAGGTACAAACAAAATCAATTTACGTCTTATTCTTTCAGTTCTATCGAATAACACTACTCTCCTTATAAACATCGAAATTAATGGAGGCTAGCTGAACAACCATATACACGTTTGCGTAATACTTATCAGGATTGTCTAGTTGCCTACATTCCGAAAGGAAAAGTGAAGTCTGAACTCATGACAGTACGCGTTTGTTTATTAGGAAGGTTACCTCGAAGTAGTAGATTTTCTGTCTAACCAGAGTGAGACAGAACTTTAGTAGCTTTACACGAGACAGCAAGAAAGCAAGGGAGTTGGATCTGCTTAAAGCTTCCTACCTTTCAACTCTAACCCTTATTAAAACAACAGCCTGTCAAGTCTACACGATATTGCAAAACCTGTTTCCGATCTAAAACGAGGAAAACCAGTAAGACCTAATGGTTCCACTTTTAGTGCTTGAGAATGGAGGGAAGGAATTACTGACTAGGTTGGCTAAGGTACCAGCTAGTCTGCAGGAATAGCTCTTCCTGACTGATGTAAACCAGTGATCGTCCTAGCAAGTGAAAACAAACCACAGGCAAGCCACCTTGACTAATCTAAATATCCAAACTACCAAAGACTACTGCCCTACGAATACTAAATGAGGATCGGAAGTGATAAATTTGAGGAAACCCAAAGGACTTCAGGCCACGGAAAGGAATGCACTGGTCAAACCTCCAACATGTTCTAGAACATGGGAGTGTTTAAGTGACGAAAACTCGTTGTATTCGACCGAAACACGTCATTTGACTCCCTCCATAGAGTGATGTTACGACTAAGTATTGACAAGACCAATTAGAAAATGAGCAGATTTTATTTTCTCACCGTGTTTCCCTTTACAGTCGCGTCCAGCCATTTATAGACTTAATACTTTACTTTAAAACTTAACTGAGATTCTCATATAACACTAAGCGACGCTTGGAAAACTTATGATATCCAATAATGAGACATACACAGTCCAACTGTTTGACAACTGACACAATTAAGTGTACGCACACTTCATTTGGTGCTTACGTGCTAATAGCACAATATCTAAATATCTTTCAACAGTACATAATTTAAAGTATTTTGACTGCCACTGATGACGTAAGTGTCAGCCTATCATCATTTCCGAAATACGTCACCTGCAACTAGTCTACGGCACCGAGGACGTATGTCATCATAATGCTGATTATACCTATAAAGCCATCAAAGTGGTAAAACATACTTTGTGCTGTTAATCAACCCATAGCTATCACCTCTATGACAAAAAAGTAAAAATCTCAATAAATATAATACCTTTTATACATGTATAATCAAAAATATATGTACAAATAAAAATAATTACTTCAGGAAGAAGTGAGTGGTGGTACTGTAGACGATTTGATTTTATGTTTCGCCCGTCGACTGCGTAATGGTTGTCCATTAGAAAGAGATTTTGGTGCACGGACAACAAACAAAAATGCCAAAAATATGAAGTAGCCCAAGATAATTGGTGAAAGCCACCAGGGGATATATGCTGATACATTATGATAGAACTCTCCGAATGCAGTACCCAAACTACCACACAATGAAATAATCGGTTGATATATCAGTTCCAAGCAAACTTCGTATATACTGGTGGTGAAAAAAGGCTCTGAAAGCACTTCTTCGTAGTACTGCATACATTCATCTGTTTTCGGGCGAGAGGTAAAATACTGACTAAAGAATCGTGACCACGGTTGTTGATCAGGAGGTTTACAGTCAACAGGTGGACCATTATACCGGGACAAAACAGACATCTTCTGGGCCAGTCGTGCATTATATTTCTTGTACATTGATTGGGAAATTATGAGGACTAATAACAAACATAGTACTAACATTAAAAATCGATGCCGAGAATGGTATATGAGTATAGACAACCAACTCGCAAACGTAAAAGAGGCTAACATTGAAATCCAGAAAAGAGGTTTGTCATTTAACCAATGAAACAACTTTGGTTCGTCTGAAAGTGTAACAGGGCGGATAATCCCTGAAAAAATATCATTTATTAAATCCGGTGATATAAGGTTGGCAGAATCATTATTTGAATCGCAGTATTTACTCAACGTATGTATATCTTGTTCCTGTAGAACGAATTCTAAATGGACTTTCACTGGCGTTTTCGGAAGTGCACCCGGTTTGTTTGCTGGATAAATATTCCGCCACAAAGTTCTCACAAGAATTCTGTGCAGCTCCCGATGATGATTGATGGCAACATTAGATTTATCACCAGAGACTAAAGGGGAACTATCATTCCAGCTGTGAAGTACATCCCTCTCTTGGTCTGTAGAAGACGCTCCGAACATATCATAGGGATCCACATCGGCTTGTGATCTGCTTAACACCAGAAGAACGACGAATCCAGGTAAAACAAACTAAAAAACCATAATATATTAGTTATTACCTCGAAGTAATTTAGCACAGAAAACTAGAAATTTAGAAAAACTAGTATATTTGCTGTCGTAATTAAGGTACACAGGTTATATAAGTCACTTTACTCCAGTTCCTCTTCGATTTCGCGCCCGAACGATGAACGGCTGGCGGCCATTGTCTTGAATTTCTGCATAGCAATAGATAGAAAGAGAAATCTACAATTTATTTGTCAAGGCAGGAAACAATGGAAACCCAGTATTATTGAGTAACAGTTATAAACGTGTGAAACACTATAAACCTGACAATAATATATAAGTTTGAGAGATAGTAAGAAAATTTCTGTTCACATGAGAATTATACAGAACAAAGTGCAACACTTGTATAACGTGTTTGCATGTTTTAGTCCCTTTAGACGCATAACATAGTTTATTAGTGATATATACACAATTCAACATTTACATTCTATTTAAGACTGATAATTTGTACTCGTACTTATGTTCAGCAACGACACGTAGGCGATACCGCTCCAATTCTTAGAGAATAGGTGGGGTGAATACATACACTCGACTCACTAAGCACTTCTCCCTGAAAATGATTATCGTAACATCTAGCCTAAACGTTTTCAACCGCAACTTAAGTTTCACTAAATGATTTAATCTGACAATATAGGAAGCATATAAAAGCAAACCTTATGTTACCTGCAACATGGGATATTTTAAGTATGTCAAACACTTGCAGAAGGGGAAATGGCAGACCGTATAAATATAAGGCTGAGAGGAAAGGCATAACAAACAATTGTTAAACCTACAGGAAAAACAACTGTTGGGTTTGGGGATGAAATAGGCAGTTGTTGTAGTCTAGTGCATACTTTTCATGCTAAAATACGCTCACCTGAAGATCACAAGCCATTGACTACGTGCGTCAGTATGATATCGGATTATTGACTTTAATCACTTTATCATCCTATTTAGTACTAAGGAAAACGTTGAGCACACATGCCTATAAAATGACCCAGTCAACTTGGGTGCTCAACGCTTCTAATTTCGATGAAGGACCCAAATGTTGTATCAAAGGGCCGTCAAGTCAACAAAGTGCTGAACAGTACCCGGAGTATGTAGCTAGATGCGGATCTTTCACGTACACTGACAGTATGGGACTCGTAAGAAGCAATTAAGTACGACGTTAAACTACAACAGCCACTCCGGTACACAACATAAAGAAGTGGTGGTGTAACTAAATCAAATAAAGCCTTCTCTTCTGGATTTGTTTAGAGTTCCAGGAAAAATATGTGTGCGAAGCTTGCGCATTGTAAAATAGATCAACTAATTATAACTGTATGTCAATGCTTGTTTATGCACAATGGTAGATTTCTGATAAAGGTACTCTTTCGAGCAAAATTATGAAAAATTCCATCAGCTGGTGCGATCCTGGACACTTTCTCAAGAAGTATTACAACCAAAAACTTATCGCTGGATGTACACTGAAATATAAATAAAATGAAGAGTCCCGGGAAGATAGTTTGTGAATTAAAGGTAAATTGGAGTTAGATAAAGATAACCAGAAATATACGCAGATCTCAGATCATGAACCATAGTCACCTTTTCGACACTTACGAGACTCCTGTCGTCCCTGAAGTTTTATTAGTTGTTTAAGGCAAGTGGTCAAGTCAGTCAGCGTGGCATTTACAATCTTGTCAAGATTGCGATTAGTTAAGCGCATGAGATTGCACAAGCACTTGTCAAAGATTTTAACCGAAACACAAACGTTACCAAAAATTTTGTCACTCACGGACTGGACGGATGGCAGGATCTCAATGAGTCGGAGGAAGACTGGTGGGGATAGTGACTGTTGGAGCACCTGCAACAACTGATTAGGCTGACCACAGACAGAAACGGCAACAGCAAAGTGTTTGACGCCTTCATCAACAGCACCCATACTTAGAGCTGTCTCTCCTTGCTGTATTTGCTCAAGGAAAAATCTCTGCATTGCGGACTGATCATTAATGGGAGGCATAGGAAATGAAGATGCCTTTTGAGCCTCTCGAGCCTTTTGTTCCATTCTTTCTAAAGTTTATGATATCATCCACATTGTAAGAGTCTAACTTTTTCTTAGATTTTTCATGAAGTCCGGGTGACTTCGCCGCTTCTTGTCGAAGTAAATACAGTACCCGACAAAAAGCACGCCAGCACCGGCTGCGACGTACGGGATAACTCCTCGTAACATTCTTGCTCTCAACTAGTCTTCCAAATTAAGCGCTTGTTTGGTCAATATCCAATGGTAAATACATAACGGTAGACGTTAAATATCACGTTCTAGTACCGCTGTTAAAATTTCACTTGGAAATTTTTTTGTCTATAATTTTTAATGAAATTGTGTTATATGTTATCTGGATTGATGAGAATTCCCATTTTCTGGCCTGTTATTTTGGTGTCCGCGTCATGTAATCTGACTTCACGTCTCAGGATATTAATTCAGCCTATTTTCGTGTGAAGAACAGTCCTTTTTGACGACAGAATTCTATCAGTACTTCGAAATCACCTGTAAATGCTAACAGAGCCTTCTGTGGGAATAGAAGTAATCATCTAGATGTGTCTCACCGTATGTGTGTTTTGACGGGAATTATCGTAAGTTAAGAGGTTTTTTCTAAGTGTATTTCATTTATATTTGCACTGTTTGGTGTAGCGTAATAAGAGTTATATGAACTCAATGCATAAAAAATCTCAACTTTACCAATATTGTGCCATTGCTAAGCTGACTGCTTGGCTGGCAAACGTAGGTGGTTGTCGTGATTATTGTAAGTGCAGTGCAGTGGAGAAGGCAATCACTCATTTAAATTTCCTTACTGTGTCACTTAGTGCATTAATTCAGTGTATAGTATCATTATACACATGGATTGTGTTGATTATGAGAACTGAATCTAGTCAGCTCTATTACTATCAATCTACTGTCTGTTATGTCATTCTCACTGGCACTGTAAACTTAATGCTGCAATGTTTTTGATCACCAATAGTGGTGATGAATTCCTCCTGGAATTTCCATTTACACGAAGCAGTACAGATGCAGTGTCACGATCGAATGTCTAGGTTGCATTATGTCATTGTTATCCTCATCAACACAACAGGTGTGCGTATCTTATAATATTTGAAGTATTTCTCTATTCTGTTAACACTGTGCATAACTGTTTAGAGTTGAGACCTATGTACTTTATATTTGATGGCTATAGTTTATTAAATATGAGAATGTAATTTTTGTAGGATTCAAAATACTCTGTTCACTAGACCTTACTGAGATTGTGGATCAATTTCTAAGTGACGCATTTGCAATACTTCATTTAATGTAAACGTATTTAGTGTGAAGTTGATCTGCAGGTAAGGTTGATGAGAGAATGACTCCTCAACAGTATGGAAGTTTCAAAGATTGTCTTGATATTTGCGTGTAATCCTTTAATACTGGTAAACATTTGAGGTCTATTGATGCTTATGGTGTCAATATAAGAACCAGCTGTAAACTACAAATACATTTATTTGCATGAGATATTACTTAGTATTAACAGAATCAGTGTATTCATAGTGTGTGCTAATATGTAGAATTATCTTTCATAACTTCATGTTGTGCTAGTCCTTACATGTGCTTTATTTTTTTCAGGTAAACGGAGGTTGTCGAATATGAAATTAGCGGAAATATCATTCGGTCAAACTAACGTTAATACTCTTCATCGGGATTTTCTTTTGTAAATTAATGAAATGTCTAATATACTCTGCAATTCTACTTCCTCTAGACTTTTTCAGTGCGTCGCTATACTATGTGCTTTTTTACTAAGTGAATTCGGATCAATGCATGTTAAGCTTAGTTAGTGGGGTGGAGATTTACTATAGTATTATGAGACTGTTACTTTAGCCCTTCGTAAGATTTCGTGTCTGTTTCTATACAGTAGCACATTGTAAAAACTAAGTAAGATTTAGCAAGTTGAATAATAATTCTGTACTGTTCGATACGCTAAAATCGCCTTATCTAGCCAGTTGCAACTCTGTGCACTGTTAAACGTCAAGTATGAAGTACAAGTAAATGTAATAACTTAGGCTTGATAGCTACTTCACTAATCTGTTAATATGCAGTGACATCATCAAATAGACTGTGTACTTGACAGTGAGCAAAGAAACAATTTCCACCTATTTCTAATATGCCGTTGAATCATGTGATGTTATCTAATATCCATCATTTCTATGATCAACAACTGCGGTGTTTGCATATCTACTTAATGAATGCTAAATAACTCACGCCTTTATGCATCTAATTACCTCTGGTATTACAACAGTATTTCCTATTCATTTGATGTGTGTACGTTAAACGAGGCATTCATACATTCTCCCACAAATGCCAAGGTTTCTGGTTTCAATACAAATGACGTCCTAAAATATCTCCAGTCGTTGAACCCTTCTTGTAGCCTAGTTCCGGATTGTTTGCCTAGCCTTGTTCTTAAAAAATGTGCAGATATCCTGTGTTATCCTCTCACATATTTAATGAATCTTTTTCCAGAAATGTTGTGCCAGCAGTTTGGAAGGCCTTTAAAATTGTACCTATACCTAAGTCGTCTAATGGACCATGTTTTAAATTTAGACCTATTGCTATTATCTCCCCTCTTCTAAAAGCTATGGAAAAGTTACCCTTACTTAATCTTCAACCTTCACTTAAATCCTTTAACGATCTCAAATGATTCGCCTATAAACACAGTAGAAGTACTTTAGATGCAGCTGCAGTCTTGCATCACAACATTTTCTCCATTATAGTCGTCCACTACCAATTGTATTTTTGTTTGGCGAACTTAATGTACATATGTATACGAAATGAAATATGTTAAGTGCGCGGACTAACTATTCTAGTGTCTTTTAATTCGCATCTACACTGTACTAAGATGAACAGCTCTCTATCAGGAGTCAGAAAATGCTTTTAAACTAATTCCTTCCAAATGTCAGACTGTCAATTTCAATTTCCGATGTAAAAGGAAGTTAGATGAGGCTGTTAATTCCTATGACCGTTGCAAAATTGATGATAGTGGTACAGAAAACAAGTCTGACGTTAAGTATCTCGGACCAATTCATCACACAGCGTATTGGCCTTAAATGTATACCACACGCATGCAGAATGTTTATTAGCTAGGTATGCAAATCAAGGTAACGCTTGTACGGTACACTCATTATTTATAAAACTAACTCATATGTGAGAACTACGATTTGACCAGTTATACAACGTTTAATGTATTTAGACACAATTAACCTACGTTGCTTACTTCTATGACGCATTACCTAAAGCTAACTTATTATAGCTTCCGCTGAAGGTAATCTCATGTTGCTACTACCTAAGTGAGCAACTCAACTTATCTTTGAATTACAAAGTAAAAGCGGACATCCTGAGAGCTTTCTGGGTAAAAGATCGTCTCGAAAAAATAAGCATATCCTAATCTCTTCACGAAAGCGTTTAGAGGTATTTATCCTGTCGCCTCAAATGACTCACTATTTGATGTCACTTAAAAAGTAAAAATAAATTTACCGAAGGCAGTGTCCTTATGGTTTCTAGATATCATAATGCACCATGAGGAAAGAGCTTTATTCATAGGGTTATAGCAATCAGATGCGCGATATAAATCCGAAACACAACGACTACGATTCTCAACCACAGAACATTCTACTTTGCTACCTAATCGTCTCAATAGATGCTTCGCCAAGAAAAAGAAGACCATTGGTTCAAGGAAAATTTATTTAAAGTTTTCTTATAAATCATGGGCAACCGTGTTTATAGACACGGAGAAATCACAAGCATAAGAAAAGTAGGAATTTCATTATTTGAACTGAAACAAGCAATTTGTAACCAGCCAATTTTTTCACCCCAAATAATAATCAGCTTCTCAGCTTGCTGTAACTTCGAAAAAACCACCGATTGTAGACGTTATTCTTGCTAGTTAAATTCTTACCAAACACTCACCAGATTATCGTATGTTATCCGCTTTTCAAATCGTTTTGAAACAAATAAAATGGTTGTTAACACCGCGTTTACTACAGGCAGTCCTAGTTCGTGCGTTTGGATCTAGTACACTCGGTATTAACAATCATTTAGGGATTTCCTATTGCTTTCTAATTTTGCTTCCAAAAGTACATACAAACACCACACATTCATACTTCACATGTGGCTCATCCTTGCTTGCTTTTGATTCTCTTAGAATATATCTAATTTTTTAGCTGACAACACACACCTTGTCGAAAAGCTTCAAAGCTTTTTCAACATCATCCCAGGTTCTAAATTCTTCAGGTTTCATTTGCTCTTCGAAAACTTTGCTAATATCAACTCTGATTGTATTTTCCTCATCAGATTGACTCGTATATTGCTGCATGCTGTAAACATGAATGTGACAGACATTGTTTTCTCCAGATTTCTACATGTTAAGTAAGCAACTGAGCTAGTGACAACAACGGCAACCAAAAATGAACTGGAAACAACTGCTTCCGCCACCCAAACATGCTCATGCGCATAATTTTCAAAACTTCTAGACAGTACTTGTTCATTATTAGCGGAAAAACAACTAAAAACCTGAAACCATGCATGAATGCAACGTATGAAACAATTACAACGAAATGAATGCACTGACCTGCTGGCAAAAATTTTCGAAACAAACGAAATAACTAATTTTAACAGAAACGGAAACAATAATGAAGTGAAATGCAACATTTGTGAACAATGTGCATCAAGATAAGTTGTGAATAACTGCTGGATAAACGGAAAAACCAATGTGTAAACGAACAGCTACAGAACTGCAATCCAACATGGCCGACTAACATGGACGAAAATGACCTTGGAGCGTCTCACTCCATAAATGACATTGTACGTGACGTTTAATTTCTGCCTACATAACAATTTTAGAAGAAATTTTGAATTGACATTTCTCCGCAACCCAGAAATGGATAGCCTGAAACCTTCGTTTATCCTGTGTTCCTTTTTCCTGTTATCATATGTGTAAGAGAAGAAGAAATTTATTGAAAATGTGACGGAATTAAACGCAATCCGGACAAATTTGTTTTATTGCATTCATCAACTAGAAATACTGTACTTTAAATTTATATAATTTTTTAGCATTTCCACATATGTTTTTCACTATTATGTTCATCACTGTTGCTCAGTCCCATTTCCCACCCCATTATCTACCCTTGCCATATACTGTTAAAATACCTAGC